AGCTTGCCCTTTATGAGGTTTAGGCTATTAGGGTCCAGAGATAGCTAAACAGGGAAGATTATTCTAAATATGTCGTTGACCAAAATTATGGATGGTTTTCATGTTTCTGGTCCTGGTGAACCCAGGGTGCCGGAATTGCTAAAACTCACGTAGAAAGGTAAAAGCCCATACGCTGCCTTCCCCTTACTGGGTTGCCGAGGCGTGACCTTCTGGTTCACGCAAATCTTCATTACGGCTTTGTGGAGGACGGAGCCAGGCTTTCAATGGATCCCAGTGGCCGCTATCGCTCAGACTTTTGTTGTGGTGATAGGTTTTCAGCTACTGCCTCGTGACCGACGCCCCTTTGCACAAAGAACTCAATTGTTGCTGCTCTGTTTTTTCGTTCCAAAATTCATCCCGGGAGTGCCTATGGGCGGCAAGTGGAGTGATCTCATCTTTTACGGTGCTTCTGCTCCCTTGATCCTTCTAGCGGCCTTAGTGGGTCCCGCCCGCACTGCTGCTGTGGGAGTATTGGGTCGTATGCTGGTGCGCGTCCTGTTCGGGCAGAATCCCTTCAAGAGTCGTGCTGGCCCTACAGGGATCTGCAAGACGCACGGCGAGAGCTCTTCGGTTCCTACCGTAGAAGCGCAGGAGCCAGAGCTAGAGGATGAGGACTATGTTTCGATTTAGGATTTTGGAAGGCGCTCAAGGTTTTGGCCTTCCTTTCCTCGGAGAGGGCAATGCTTCCCTCCACAGAAAGTCGCTTCACCGAAGCAGAATGAGCAGGCTCAGGCTAAGGTCCTGAAGAGCTGCATGCAGTCGGAAAGTCCTTTCCTCAAGATTCAGGGTTGCAATGTGTTTAACACGTATTTCTGCCGGGACGTGGGGCTGACCTTTGAAAGGCCGTGCATAAAGCCACAGGCAGAAGGTATGAAAATCCTAGCTGTAAGCCTTAGATTCCTCGAGGGCCTCTTCAATGGTCATCCTTAGTGGTCCAAGGAGTTGTGCTTTCAGCTTCGGCTGTGCCGGTGTCGTTGCATGGGCCTGGGGGCAATGTACCCCTCAAATAATAACAACAATAATCGTACTAATAACAACACATAATAATGACAGTCATAATAGTGTTAATCATAACTATACTAATAACAATGATAGCAAAGTTTGGCAGCAGCAGCGACTTGCAGTTTGTGCCCAGCGGCCGATCACCTCTTCCTGCATTGAGGCTGGAGCGTGCGACATTTAAGTATACCATGCTCCCATAGATTTGAATGGGTTTAGGTAGGCAAGATGCTATTGTTTTTTACTGTACTTGAAGCACGCTTCCTGTACCTCCAAGAAATCGTGGAGGAGGACGGCCGAACCCCCAAGTCTTGCAATGGAGGATCATTCTGCTGTAGGATGCTAGATATCTGCAGGGGTTCAAGGACGATTGTCCCACTTGAGGTTTTGGCGGGTTCTGGGCAAGCAGCTCATTCCACATGGGGATTTCTCTCACTTTTGGTTCCTGTTTGGACTGCCTGTTCCGATGGCCGTCATTCTGTGTAAGCTCAACATACAGTGTAACAACGAAGACAGGAAGAAAAGCAGAGAAATCCCCGATGCAGAGTAGAGATTTTTTCCGGGCAGCAGGACTATCGATGTCCTGCGGAAGGACTTCATCATGCGCCGCTGGGGAGTAGGAGGGTGTGTGTGGGGGGGGAGGGCACCAGGAAGAACAATTAAAGCGGCGGCGTAGGGGAGGATGGGGGGTCCGGGGTGTATACTGGCTTTTGCTCAGCTGGACATGAAGGAATGGATCCTGAGAGTAATCCCTATAACCCCATCGTAGTAGTTTCCATTTTCTTTTCCACTCCTCCTACACCTTAACCCAAACCCTATATAACCCGTTATAGTAGTTTCCATCTTCTTCATTCTAGTAGTTTCCATTTTCTTTTCCATTCCTCCCTTCCCAGCTTACCAAAGGCCAGGTAAGGGGTGCCGAGGGCAGGCCTTGAGGGCGAAGCGCGAAGCACGGCTAGAGGGGTAGAGGAGCGGGAATCAGCCGTGTTCCGTTAGTTGATACTGTTAGTAGTATAGATCCTAAACTATCATATTCCCTAATAAAGTGACCCCAAAAAAGGTACCCTTAAGCTTGGGAAACCCTACACCGTATACCCAAAGCCATATTCTATGTACTTAAGGGGGACTTTATCCATGCGCGTAGGAATGCTTTGCATGTAGGGCGTACCCTCACCGTACATCCTCTTGGCAGACTTCAGCGTCAACACTGACTCAGGGCTTTCCGAAAACCCTCCAGGCTTCCAGCGGCATTCAGTCCTTGCATGAAATTCGGCACTCGCAATATGTAGATGAATCGTTCTGGTGTTTAATTTGCCACGCCTTGGTGCTATTTGGGCCTCCAGGTCTACGGATCGGTTGTTTAGCGATAGCAGTTTCGTTCAGCGGTCTTGCCATTGATGGGACAAGGATTGTTGCCCAAGGTTGTCTCCAACATATTTGAAGCCTAGCTGGAAGCTAAGTGAAAGGCTTGAACGCTTGCTACCATTATCCTTGCGAAGCCCCCTTACAATTTTTTTCAAACTACCTCAAATTCCTGTTGCATGTTTTGGCCCCCTAGTCTGGCTAGGTGTACCTTAAACCCGACAGCCTGAATTCCGGGGAACCTAAGCCTGGGGAATTCGTGAATCAATACCAGGACTATCATGTAAATGGCTTGTCTCAGAACAGTGCACAACCAGGGACCCAAGGCAAATTCGGAGTATGCGCAGATAAGTAGGATCTCCCTTCAGGATGATACGGGATGCCACCTTCAGAAACTAACGAAAGAATTGCGCGTTATGTTACCGCAGTAGATTTCATCTTCTTCCCATTGTTACCGGAAATTATGGCGGCCGCTTTAAACAAATGTCACCAGACCTATGCCATGTCAGGTGCCCCAAAGCCCAAAGCTTAGACAGCAAACCGGAGGAGGACAATGATGTTTGCAACCTATGGCTCAAAAGCAATTCCCTTGACAAACTTCAAGCTGCACGCCTCAAAGCTGCGTCTGCCTAAGGTTAGAAATGCACGAACCTCATGCCACCCCTCGCAGTTGGGCGTTGCATCTTGATCTTATCTAGTTGCCTGCAAAAACCCATGCAGCTGAGCGTGCTGTGGCTGAAGGAGGTACCCAAATGGGACCTTCTCCTTTGAGCCTCAGGGCGTTTAAGCCGGACTATGCAATCGCATCAAAATTTGAAGCAGCCTTAGAGACCCACAGCATGGAGATTGCCAAGCTGCATCGGCCTATGAACGCCTTATACCCCAACAATCACAGGAGCTACCGTCTAAATTCTTTCAACGGGGGTAAAGAGGGGATTATATAGGGGAGTATTACCGGGGTGGTTAGTAGGGACTAGGGAGGGTCTCCATGTGAGTTGTCAGTAGGACTGAGCCATGGGAATACTAAGAGCGGTGCGCATTGCATCCCAAAGTAGTCTAATGTGATCTAGTAGAAGCGAAAGACTCGCAAGATCAAATTCTCTCTGTCCACACTTTTGGTGGGGCATTCATTCTGTGTAGGGAGACTCGACCCAACCCTAAGCCCTAAACTGCAAATCCTGCGCCCCGCAACAGAACTGGCTAAAGTACTTGGGGACCAGGATGTCGCACAATTAGGAGAGATAGTGTTGAGATATCAGATTAAGGACCCTAAAGCCTAAACTCTAAACCCTAAACCCTACACCCTAAACCCCAGACCCTCAACACTATGCTGTGCTGAACTGATTTCCGGGGTTGGGCTTCCTTGGAGTCTTGAAAGCCAAGGATGGCCCATAGACTCCCTGAGTGCTTTATCCTTCCCCGATCACAGGCTTGGGTTTTCTGGCTCTGGATGCGAGTAATCACGTTACATCAGTGGCCAACACCTTTTTTTACGTGAGCATGCTAGCTTCAGACACTCAATCCGAAGGCCTCAAACCCTAGACTTTCTTTGGAATGCTGGCTTCGCCACCGGCTTTCGAGCCCCCAGTTTTCCTACTGTAAACCTCCCGCAACTGCTTGTTCGCCAAGGACCGTATGCTTCGTAGCATCCCTCTTAGGTTTCCAAGTTCACTTGCGGGAGCGTGACAGCCTCTACAAGATCTTATGTCTTGCTTAGCAAGCCCCGGTACAATCTCATGATCTGCCCAATCCCCGTGGCCAGCTTAATCCTTGCACCAGATTATGCAAAGTCCTCAGATCTAGAAGCCCGACGAGTACCAACATGGCTAGGCTTCGGGGTGCATAGTATGATTAAAACCTTGTGAAGATCACTTTTTCCACCACGTTCTTGGTGCTCACAAAGATTCTGTAAATGAAATAGCCTATATGGCACCCCTAAGTTTCGAACACTTGACCAACGGCTTAGGGAATGTTCCCGATTAGAATATATTGAGGTAGTTTGGACTGGGGAGTTTTTGGGAGTGGGGTACTCACTCCTCTTTGAAGACACCTGCAGGGTTTCGGGCTTAGTCATTAGGCGCTGTCTGCGCTTCCGTCACTGTTTGGTGGATTCCTCCGATCATTTTTTCCGAGGCATGGAAATGGTGTCAAGTTTATTGAAACGGGAGGCCCAGTTTCGGTTCAAGCATACGGTGGCCCTCGCTGAGAAATTTAGCCATGGGAATTTGCCACTGCAATGCCGGTGGTGAGCAGCTGCCTGACATGGTCATAGGCACCACCAAGATCCTAGGCCTTGTTTGATCCTAGGGGTACAGGGACCTATGGGAAATAGTTCATGGCCTTAGATTCCCTGTGCAATCATGGTATAAGGTATCTCAAGTTCATATTTCAGTTATGGTAGTTGAACATATCGGAATTCAGGGTTTAGGTTCACGGTAGTCTGGCCTGCTGCAGAGTTGAGCATGCAAGCAGAAACGGGATCTGTTAATGTACTAGGAAGCAAACCCAAAATCCCCGAATCCTAAACTTTAAACCAAAACCCTAAATCCTAAACCCCAAACCCCAAAACCCTCAAATCCTAATCCCTAGACCTTTTCAAGGAACCGCATGCACCTTCGGAAGATCCTCCTGCCGCACAAGCCTGCGGTCGCCCCGCCCGAACTGCCAGAGCCTGGGGATTTCCCAAAATTAAGGGTACCCTTTAAAGGGGGTTTATAGGGTATATATAGGGTATATATAGGGATATATAGGGGTATACAGGGTTTAGGGTTTCGGGGTTTCCCAAGATTAGGGGTGCTGTTTTTGGGGGTCCCATAATAAGGATTGTAGTATATTAGGGCCTATACTGGGGTCCCATTATGTTGGGAAACTACTATTTTGTGTCCCTTGGCTATGAGGGTTTAGGGTTTGGGGTTTAGGGTTTAGGGATGATGCAGGACTTAGCACATAGCGTTTGGGATCTAGGGCGTAGGATTTAGGATCCAGGATTTAGGGTTTGGGTTTGGGGATGCAGTGTTTAGTGTCTATAGGTTTTGTAGTATGTGGATTTAGGATTGAGGGTCTAGAGGTTAGCGTTGTTCAGAGCCTAGAGTTTGGGGTCCCTGTCACATACATTCTTGCAATCAGTGAATCCTTTTGCGTATGTCTGTTGTAGGGCGTGATGAGTGCGTGTTCACATCTGTATTCTTACGCATATATGGGTGGTTGTCAAAATTATGGTCTTTTTTTGGGTCCCTATTATAATACGGCACCTAATATTTAGGGTACCCAAAAACGGACCATAATTTTGACAACCACCCATATGTATATACATCCGCATGTTTCCATTTAAACATTTACGAAGGTTGCGTAGCCTGTATTACCATATTACAAGAAATCAGCCGACAGCCTTCATGCCCAGAGTCTTGGAGAAGAGAGGTAGGGGGATTATAATAGGGGTTTAGGGTTTAGGGTTTGGGTAGTATGTATATATTGGGGATATATCGGGACAATGGAAAAGAAAATGGAAACGACTACATGGTTATATTACAGCGGTTAAGTAGGGTAGTATCTACTCAGGACTTCAAGGGGCCAGCAAAAGCCCCTGCGGCGGCGGAGGGCCTCTATGAAGATCCGGATTTTCCAGCGACGGACGAAAGTTTCCATGGCCTGTAAGAAAGCCTTTCATTGGGAGCTTCCAGAACTCATATGTTGGGTTGGCAAGCATGGCCCCTAATATTTAGGTGTACCCATGTGAACCTTGGGTACTGCACCCCCTCAGTAACAGTTGGATAATATTTATAATATGGTTATATATAGTTTTTTTTTAGGATTTGTAATATAGACTGTTACTGGGTGGGGGCAGTACCCAACCCTAAATCCTAAACCCTAAACCCTAAACCCCAAACCCTAAACCCTAAACATTCCCCCTCTCATTCCAGAGCTCATCCTACAGAGATTCTTCAAGGACCATCGAGGCCAAGTAGGCCGAAAGGTGTGCAACCTCGAAAAGGGTTTAGGGTTTAGGGTTTAAGTACTATGCGGGGTGGCCCCAACTAGAGTTTCATCATCGTCATTGCAGGGGACTATACCCAGCTTCTTGAGTCTTGCTTGCCCAAGCCCTGAGGACTAGCTGGAAAGGTTCCATTGGGGTTTTATTGGGGTTAAATTGGGAAATTGGAAAATACAATGGAAAGTGTTATTTGGGGTTTTATGAATAAACCTGTTAACTTTGAAGTGCTGCACCTTGTAACCTGTGGCCTCAAGCAAAAGCTTTATGAATCAACATTCTCCACGCAAAGTCCTGATCTAAAAGCTCTGCACGTTTTACCTCTAAGTGCGATTCCCTCGGTCGGAAATATCCCTATCAAGTTCAGACAATGGCCCGTTTCGAGCACATAGACTTACAGGCTTGGGCGGCATCACTGGCGACCAAGCGAACCCGCAGGTTTCGGAATACCTGGCTGCCTGCCTCACAGGGGGCCTATATAGAGATAATGGGAAATAAATTGGAAACTACTACATGGTATAAGTATTGGGATTATATAGCGGTTATATAGGGATAATGGAAATGAATTGGAAACTACTATTTAGGGTTTAGGGTTCAGGAGCCCTTAGGGTCAATGCGTGTTTATCTTTTCATATCTGGGATGGGTTTGGGGGTTGAGGGTTTCGGGGTTACTGTTAAGATGGTTGGGCTTTTGGGGTTAGGGCTTGGGGGTGTCAAGGTTCAGGGGCTGAGCATTCTGGATGCTTTGTAGGGGGGTTCCATGGAGACTAGACCGGATGATGTACTTACCCTAAACCCTAAACGCTAAAACCCAAAACTCGAGCTTTGTTCCGCAGGATGCTGGTATTTCACATGTTGCGCCAAAGGGGTCTTTCAAGAGAGAAGGCTTGCTTATGCATGTTCCGGGCAGGATCCATGATTTTCCTTTCTACCATGTGCATCTCACGTGCTCTCACAGCAAAAAGGCTAGGTACCTTCCTGTTTGTTACGGATGGTTGTGAAAGAAGCAAAGCGTGGTACCGCAGTGGGGATTCAGAATATCAACTTCGGGTGATACATTCTTGATACTGTTAGCGATGATAGCAGGAATATGTGGATCCACCCAAGCCTTTTGACCCATGAAATGTTCTAGACCAGGTTAATTAACTCTTGGTAGGATGTAAGTGCTTCCCCTAGTGCCGGGATTTTGGAGGAGTTGCTGGCCCCTCGCCCTGGAAGAGATTCTTCAATCGCAAGGCTTGTTTTGGAATCTTAACTGTTTACCCCAAACCCAAAACCTACACCCTAAACCCCCTAAACCCTCTAAACCCCCTAAAACCCTCTTCAACTCCCTAAAGCCCCAAAACCCCCTGAAGCCTCCAAACCTCTAAAGCCCCTAAACCCGAAATCCTCTAAACCCTGAACCCCCCCTAAACACTGAGTGGCCGTGACTTCGAGGTAGAGATGATGAAGCTCGTTGTCCCAGGCTGGGCGCGGCCGCACCAGATGGTGGGAAAGCAGGCTGGGAAGTAATCCCTTCCCTCTTATGACTCACAACCCTCTCGTAATATTACCTATATATATGTACATGTAAAGGGATATGTATGCATCTATGTACATATATATATATATGTTAGCGGTTATATTCTTATAGAACAGGGGGTGGTGGTAGATTGTTAGGGCGAGGTGATTCAAGGCGCGGTGACAAATTTCGGGGTCCTTTTGTAGCGGTCCGCCTCAAAGGGATTATACCAGCAGCATATTTGGGGCGGAAAGAGGGTGGACATCCAGGTTGGGAATTCCGTTGTTCACCATTCAGCGCTGGCGGCCTCTGTATAGGTCTTATGTTTTGAGCTTTCGGGATTTTGCTGTAGAGCTTCGCATACCCAAAGCATCATTGAACAAAGACCAAGCTAGCTTCAACTAGAAGGTTTGATACGGTGGGTACCAAATTTCTTGCATGACCGTAACTGCCTTATGTCTTCAGACTTGTGTATTCTCTTAGAGTAAGGTATTCCAAGAGTTTTAGTATCAACCTTAATACCCCAAACCCCAAACTCTGAACCCTTAGGCAGGAAAGTACAAGCTCTTCGCGACGGAGGGTGAGCCTTGTCTCTTCAAGCACGTGTCGCCAAGGGACATCGAGCAAGGTCACGCGCCTGTCGAAGCAACGCGGTGTAGGGTTTAGGGGTTGTGGGTTTAGGGTTTAAAGAGTCTGTTGGACTGTTGCTTGCTGTCTTCTTTTGTGAGTTTGTTTTGAGAAGGTCTCACTTATACCCTGAAATTCTACCCTCCATCCCAAGAAACATGCAACCTTCACAGGACAGCCAAAGCACTACCGTCCCACTGTCTTTTCACCTTGGGGTTCAAGAGTCCTACTAGCAGCAGGAGTAGTACTATGAGGGCGAGCAGTAACAGCACAAGCCCTCAAAAGTGCAAAAGAGTCAGATTTCATTGATCTCACTGGCAAGGTTACCTCGGCGACTGCTGGCTTGTCTCTTCCTTTGCAGCCATTGCTGAATATCCCGACCGCGTCCGCTCGCTTTTCAAGCAGAATGAAGCTCAATTTCGCAGGGGTAATTTTAGAAAGATTTGTGCGACTAGTATGTTTGTATGTGGAGGGCTGAGAAGCTATGTGCTGCGCTTTGCGTGAGGAGTTGACAGCAGATGGCCGCTATGACGTCCGACTTTACGATCCTCTCTCGGAGGAGTGGAAGGTTGTGACCATTGATGACCGCTTGCCTTACTGGCAACGGCCTGGCAAGCACGGGACGCTGTGCTTCGCGAAGCCTACCAAGGAGAACGAGTTCTGGACTTGCTTGCTCGAAAAAGCCGTTGCCAAGCTCCTCGACCTTGAGAAACGTGTGGCTCTTTGCTATGGGATTCATGGTGTTGAACAAGAATGGCTGTTCTGTGCTGGCTTGGGAGGGCCATGTCTCAATACAGGGCATGAGGTGCAGAAAAAATTCTCTGGCCTCATACTTTGCGTTTCTAGGCGAACAGTCCCTGAGTTCATAGCCGCGATTTGTTTGCGACTGCCCTCAGTTGCTCATCGTTCATGGTTTATGTAGAAATTGTCTTATGGGGAACTGCTACTAAATCCTTCGAATTCCTTAATCCCTACTAATGGGAGCAATGGTAATGTTAGGAACCCTCGTCATAGCAGTCATACTGGTACTAAACAACCACTTTAAAGCCTACTCCAGGCCTGGAGCCTTCAAGGACAGACGAAGCGATCACCCTTAACCATGCATCCTGAACCCTAAACCCTTTTGTCCCCTTAAGTAGATAGAATATCGGGTATATGGGGATCTTATTCTAATAGACGCAAAGCCATATTCTATCTACTTAAGGGGGACTATAACCCCATCCCCTGCAGCCTAGCAGCAAAGTCCTCAACAAATCATCAATGGGTGACGGGCATTCGCAGGTCTATTCGTAGGGGAGTAAATGAAGCTTGAGGACGTGGGTCTTCCTTGCTTTCATATAGTATGGGTTCCGATATGTGGATCCCCACTCAAAAGCGGGTCCCTTTCTGAAGTCTTTGTCATAGTTAGCCTACCACTTAGTCTTTCCCGTACAAGCGTAAGAATCGGTACAGTCTGTACAGTATTCTGGTTTTTGTTATTGGGCATCTCTTGTTAGGGAGAGCCACCCTGGTCCCTAACCGTGGTTTAGTTTATTGTGAGTTTAGTATCTTCCCAACCATTCCTCAATGCCCTGTTCACGTACGGCTAGCGGAGGCTTGCTCTCAGCCTGTAAGCCCAGACGTTAAATCCCACATTCTGATTAGGCCTTACCCTATACCCTAAACGTTGGACCCTAAACACGAAGCCCTAAGGCCTAAACCCATCATCCCTATACCCCTATGTATAAAATCTTCTTCCTTGATTCCCTACTACCCCCCAGGAAGCGCCCTAGACCCTAAACCCTAAACCCCTAAACCCTAAACCCCTAAACCCTAAACCCCTAAACCCCTAAACCCCTGAACCCCTAAACCCTAAACCCCTAAACCCTAAGCCTTTAAAAAAACCTCAAAGCCGAGGCTTGTGAAGTCCTACCACAGAATCGACGGCGGCTTCGAAGCTGTGGCATTGGAAATGCTCACAGGCCGGTTTGGGATTCACCCACCCTACCACTATTACAGGGTATTAGGGTATTAGGGTATATATTAGGGTTTAGGGTTCAGGGTTTAGGGTTTAGGGTTTAGGGTTTAGGGGTTGGGATTGGCCCAAGTTTGACCCCCTAGTATCATTATTACTATTATTCGTAATAGTGCCGTTATGAAAAGTCTTATTTTCAGGATACTGGTCATTATATTAGGGTCCTCTTAAATTCCTGCTCTACCACTATTACGGGGTGGGGGGTCCATCCAAGGTATATTCCTTCATTGAGGGGGGTGTTGGTCTCCCTAGGTTTACGATCCCCCTTAAGTTGATAGAATATGGGGTCTATGGGGACCTTATGATAATATACCCTAAGCCATATTCTATCTACTACAGCGGGACTAGAGGCCCACAGCAATGCCAATGCCCCCTAAACCCTAAACCCTAAACCCTAAACCGTGTGTCTTAGGGTTTGGGATGCTGGGCTCATGGTTTGGCTTTGGGAGCTTTGGATTTGACCAGTTTTTGTTTCCAGTACATAGGGTCATAAAGGTTTATATATATGGTTATATTGTGTTATATGGTTTTATGTAGGGCTAAATAGGATTATACATGGTAACATGTTTGAACATTGTATAGGTATATGTATGGGGTTCAGGGTGTAAGGAGTGGGCTTCGAGGGTGCATGACTAGAATTCTCAATCATATCATCTTTCGCTTGTTGATGTTTCATGTGAGTAGTATTTTATTTGGGGGTGCTATGGTACCCAATATAGAGTAAGATTATATCCGCGCTTTGGGGTAGAGTATTCATATAATCTTACTGGGTTTAACCACCAAAAAAACGCCACTCATGTGTTTTGCTGAAGTCATTACTTCTTACCACCCATTCCATGTAATCTTCATGCGTATGTGCCCGAATCATAAGACTCCAAATCAGATGTGCGCCCCAGGTCTGAGGATCCCTAACACAAAGCCACCTAAAAGGGTGTTAGGGATTTGAGGGTTTAGGTTTAGGGTTTAGGGGAGTGGATCCGAATAACAGTAGTAATCATCCCTATATCGTCCTGTACGGTGGTACTCAGATCCAGCCCCCCTGCCCCACCCCCCTTCAGCATAAGTAAGAAGTAACTTAGGCGCTCCTGGTATGCTGGTGGATCCGAGCTAGTTCCCTTGCTGATATGATACGAGTGATCATAATGATGCTAGCAGTCGTTGTAACAAGCGGTAACAATGCTAGCAGCAATCGTATTCATGAAGACTTAGTAGCAATAAATTATCAATCGCAATAGCAGTTAATGGTAGCCTTGAAGCCGTTTCAAACGTGAGAAATGCTGTTCTGAAGCGGATTCGCGAGGCTTCTGCAGGTGTTGTGGTGTAGACTGGCCCTTGAGATGTTAAAGAGCCACAAATTGCATTGCCCTACATCCTGAATGCGGAGGCAAGCCATCTCTCAACATTCAAGTGAACGCTTTCGAGGGCGGCATGCATTCGCCATACGCCGCTTTTCCAGCGTTGAGCTGTGCTTGGACATGTAGGGACTTCCCGAAATTAGGGGTTTGTTTTGGCTGGTCCCTAAAATGAGGATTGTGATAAAGTGCTTGTACAG